TGTTGCTTGCTTTACTGGTAGAGATATCACATACCAGTGAAGGGTATATTCATCCGGAAAAAAAAAAAACGATTTGATGGGCGATTTCAGAAGAGATAGCGCAAATATACACCACAGACGATAAGAAGAGTATAGCAGATTTATATATGGCTCTGACGCTGCAGTATCTTAACAGTGAGTACATCAAAGAGTCAAATTTTTAAAACTTTTCCATATTCGCGCTCTACAAGAGGTGCAGGCACTCGGGAAGTATGACTCGAATGGTAGCAACTACGCAAAAAGCAACCTCGGTGGTTTCCTGTTTCGAGATTTACTCGCAAACAAGCAGACTGGCGGAATTTGAATAATAGCATGTGTCAACAATAACTATCCACTCTATGCCTTCCATTTCAGGATTTTTCTACGGTCATTTTAAAAGCAGTTAATATAAAAGGATTCCGCTCCTACCCACATGCATTGTTCGGTGTGTATGTGTTTACAGCTAAGGGATAAAACACAGACTACATCGTGAAATGTCCTCCGGCACATGACACTTAAGACCAGTCTTTCTATTCTACTATTTCACTGGATCAAGAACAATCATTAATGATGACGAGTTTAGTTTCCCAGTTTACCATGGGATAGCTAATGATCGAATCATAAAAGGCACTGGCCAACTCAAATCCTCATCCTGCAGTATGGGATTAACACCGGTTGTTAACTGCGTCATTCCTGTTCTTAGTAAAATGACAAAAATCAGAATTCTCAGGCTAAAAGTGCAGGGATAAAAGCTTTTACGGCAGAATCGCTGTTAAGAAAATCGATATAAGTATGATAATTATACAATACACTTTCATGAAAATTTGAAATTACTTAATGTAAGAAGAAAATAAAGACACAGTTACCGTTGTGGGCGTCCAACGTTGACCATTTTTTAATGTAAGAATCAAAAAATCATTTATATTGGCAATTTTCACGGCACTGTTAAAAGTGATTGATAAAAAGCTATCAGAACATCCACACATTTTATCATGGTTGATATCGAAAACTAATCCCAACACACAAATATCACTGAGGCCACCTGAAATCGAAATTTTACAGTTACAAACAGTAGATAATTAGGAATAAATTTGGTGCTAGTAATTCTGCAATCCACCAAATCAGTGAATCTTCGGCAGAGGAACAGGAAAAACTGTCAAGTGCTAAGCGAAAAACTAAAACAAAGCTGCATCAACTAATGCTGACCAGTTGATATTTGCCTTTTTTGCACCCACTGTTCACCCCCAAAGACAAAAATGACCAATCCCGCAAATTTAAATTCAGCCTTCCCTTGCTCGCAGGTAACAAGTACGGCCCCGTAAAAGTTTTGGCGGGTAAAATTATTATCACGGGAACAACAGGAGCTAGAAAGCTGAAATTTTGTGGGGCATGTCCCCTGCTCACATGCGAATATATAATGTATATGAAATGTAATATAATGGAATATATAATGTACACGAAATGTACAAAAGCCTCATTCGTTTTTACGCTTCACCAGCTGAGATGCCAAGATTTACCCACATTTTTCAATAGCAAATAAGCTATGCTAGTTAATTTTACAGCAGTTTTCATGAAAATTACAGTGTGTTTGCAAAAATCTTGAACCATATTCAGCGCAAGATTTTGTATAATTTCGTGAATCTTCTAAAATAGCGACAAAACAAGCGGCTTTCATACACACAAACTATTTAAGAAAGCAATTTTATATCTACAAACCTTTCTTTCTTTTTGGTTCAGAGAGCAGCAGCCATTCAGCATAGATCCAGGCGCTTTGGTCCTCGGGATCGGTGAAAAATGCATTTTCTAATTTCTAAATTTTTCAAATACAAGTATATTAATTTAAGATGCAAAGAACTGATGATCTGAATAGATTTAAGGGAACAAATTTTTATTGTACTAAATGAATGTCGCCCAGTTGGTAAGGTACCTAAAGTACCTTAAATTGGTAAAGTTCAGAAACAAATGCCCAAAACACATTAAGGATAACTCGGAACCGCAAAAGCTTTGTAAGTCGTTTTTTGGAGAACTGGTAGTTTTTCAAGAGATTAAGTGAACGTTAAAATCGATAGTAGGATGAGAAACAAGTCATACTACATTTGACAAAATAACTGGAAAAGTTGCCAACTGCAAAGCTGGAAAATCAGAGTATGAGTTAACAATTGTTTCAGGTACTACTTAAATTGTACTAATTTACTAAACTAACTCGATATTCATCATCCAGAACGGATCGCTCGATGGTTAGTTCTTCATCTGGGAATAAAGATGGTAAAAGTGTTGAACGATAGTGCCATGATGAATAATTGCTGAAGTTTGCATTGATCAATCGATTAGAAAACCTGAAAATCAGATATACAGTTATTTAAGCATAGAACACACAATATTTGAAATATCTACTTAAACTAACTATAGATCATGGGGTCTATCCCCCCCCCCCCGCCCCCCAAATAAACGAGCAGATAACTTTACTAGTTTTTTTGACCAGTGCTGCATTGCATGATATTCAGCATGCCTTGCGGCCTACGGTAAAGCCGAAAAAAACGTAAAAAAAGTTAAGGAAGAGTCTGATCTGAGAAGTTTCTCACCCTGATACGGGGATGAGAGAGTTCGAGAAGAAGTGGTAACG